ATAGATAGATAGATAGATAGATAGATAGATAGATAGATAGATAGATAGATAGATAGATAGATGAAAAGGAACTTAGATACACAAGCGCTTAGGTTAAAGGCTACACTGAACACTTTGCTTTGATTTTATTAACATAGTTTAGCATTTTAAGATGGTAGAACTAATTCCTTGGGTATTGCTGTCCTTGAATCTGGAAAAATGGAAACTAAAAACAATGAGGTGTGGTTAAACAAAAATGTTCAGCATATATCTGGCGAAATAAATGTTGATGAATTGCTGTTTAATGGTGGCGATAACACATGTATGCAAAATACATGAGATAACAGTATTTATCGCTTTTTTGGCTTGAATTTATGCTTGTTTTTGACAACAGGTGCCCAATGGTGTTACCATTACACTGTTAAAAAAGCTAGACATATTGATATGACTCCCCTTTGGAAGTGTTTGCTTTCTACTGGTTGTTGCATACAAACTAAGTCAGATTAGTAGCTGAACGGTGGACGACCTTATTTCGAAAACATTATATTCAAATGCACTCATATAAACACAGTTTGCAGTTTTCAAATGATGTCTAACAGAGCATCTCAAAAAGGGAATATTTTTGGGTCACCTTTTATTTGGTTTTTCAGCTTCTTATTGGGGAACAAGCTTTTGCTTTGAAGTGGTACAGTGTTCAAGAGGAGGCTAAAATTGGAACTGTTGTTGGAAATGTTGTAAAGGATCTGGGGCTTGATATATCATCATTGACTGATCGGAGATTTCATGTGTTGTATCTGGAAGTAAGATGCTTTTTTTTAGATGAATCAAGACAATGGAATTTTCTATGTCCACGGGTAATTAACAGGGAGGAGCTCTGCTAAGGAAGAGGTGTATGTCTGATCGAGCTTAAAATTCTTGTTGAAAATCCACTAGAAATGCATTATGTAACCATAGTGATAATAGATGTAAACAATCACTTGCCTAGTTTCTCTGAAAGGGAGCAGGAAATTGAAATAGCAGAGTATACGCCGCTGGGGAGAAACTTCCAGTTACATGCTGCTCATGATCCCAATGCAGGAATAAACTCAATTCGCACCTATGTTCTAACTGAACATGATCAAAGTGCCGAAGACAAAATACAGTTTTTAGTATTAAAAAGGCCATAATATAGAGAACAAACACATACACATTATCTAGTGCTTACTGCATTAGATGGAAGCAAATCTTCAAGATCTTGAACATTAAATGTTCCAGCTATATTTCTTGATGTCAATGACAACTGTCCTAAATTTCACACTTACCAAATTTCATTTGATGAAAATCTTTTGCTTAGAACCATAATGTTTGTAATGAATGCAATGGATCCTGATGAAGGAACCAACGGGGAAATTGATTATAGTCTTGAAAAAATGTCAATATGTTTGAGTTGAACAAATTCATTGGGGAAATTAAAGTGAAAGGAGTTCTGAAAATAAAACAATGTTTTTAATTTGGCAATTAAGGCTTCCAATAAAGCAACACCTCCACTAATTGGTGCAAGTAGGCATATTGTAAAAACTTAAAGGTGTCAATGATTACTCCTCAGGAATAGAAATGACATCACAATCAATAACAGTCTCTGAAGATTTTAAATGCGGCACTGTAATTTCACTTATAAGTGTGACAGATAAAGATTCTGGACTAAATGGTAAAATGATTATGAGCATAACATCTAGTGGACCATTTGGATTAAAAAAATTGTTCAAGGAAAATCCATATTCAATTTTCATTAGTGGAGTATTAGATTGAGAGGAAGTGCGCATTTACGTACTGAAAAAAAAAACATATTGTGGTGACTGAAACTTATCCAGTTCTCAAAGTTTTATCATTCAAACATCATTACAGCCGTATCTGTCTGAAAATAATGTTACTAGAATGTCAATATTTTCTGTTAGTGCAAATGACATACAGCAGAATGAGAATGCGGCTATCTCTTACTGTATGGGTGATGAGCTGAATAGAAAGGATATAATGTCATTCATAAACAAATTCAGATACCAGATGGGTTTCTGCTCTGAAAGGTTTTGACTTTGCTACCCAACAAAAGTAAAGAATTTGGAGAGGTAAGAGTCTTAATCTCTTGAAATTGTACAGTCTAATCTAGACCAGTGTTCCAAGATAATAACAAAATTCTTCAATACGTCTATATTAAGGGATGGGACGCATTGATTTATCTTAAAGCTTACGAAGCATTTCTAGTCAAGTCATAACTCATTGATGTTTATTTGTGGATGTTTTACCGCGTGTTTACGTAAATGTTCCATTTGCTAAAATTCTAGTCACAACTGATTGACAAATATTAAGCTTATCGTAGATTCAATCTGGAAGATTCTTATCAGCTTCACCTGAACCACCTGCGATGTCCCTCGTTCGACTTGAGCCATTTAACACGAGGCGCGCACCTTCTCTGAAGCCAATCGTCTTACAAGGTCCGCCTCATTTAGCTCCTGGCCCAGCTTCTGTCTCCCACATGCAGGCAAACTTTGACCCATCTCCTCCCTCATTATCAGTCCCACTCATCCTCTGGTCTATTCCACCAGTATCCAAGCCCTGGGGGAAGACTGCTCTAATTATTTTCTAGGTTACCCATTCAAGCGTATCTTGATTCACAGCATCGCAGTATTCTGCCAGGGCCAGAGTGCTAAAGAACTTATTTCATTTAAGACTTTATCTGCTTCTGTCTCCTTGAACCCCAGTCAGCCTCAGCAGAATGCTGCTCACATTGAGCCTTGTTCTGCTTGAGGTTTCTTCCTGTTAAAATTGAGTTTTCCTCTCCACTGTCGCCACATGCATCCTCAGGGTGAGGGATTGCAGAGAGTCAATAAGTCCTCACAATCAGCTGGTTTTCATTAGATAGAAGTATTTTTGAGAAAATTTTTGTGTTACCTATATAAATAATTTTTATATTTTCTGATAGCAACTTTTTCTCTGTGAGGCTCTCTAGCTTGAATAAGCTGCTATTACATCAAATAAAAACTATTGCTATTGGAAGAAAAAGCTTATATTTTGTCTCTCACTCTAGCTTGTTGAAATATGTTTCTTTATTAATTGTCATACATAAAGCTTTAAAAGAAAGCATAGATTTTGAATTAGTTTGAAAAGATCCATTGCTTAAAAGCAAGGAAAAAAAAGAAGAATAAAACACACATTTTCTATGAACTATACAACAGAGTCACATGAAAATGAGGCAGCCTTACACTTTTTAATTTGCATTGCTGTATAATTGAACGGTTAAGGAAAAATCTAAACTCTACAACATTTTCCTCTTGGTGTCACTGCAACATAGCAAACCCCGTTACAGACGTGGTTCCTCCCCGTTGAAATCCTTTGTTTAGTGGCCTATAGTATAAGATGTAGTCAATGTAAGAGCGAGAGACGGGCGAGATCACGTTCTGGGCGGATTTGGAGATTAAATATTTTTTTTAAAGGTGGATTTGACTGCAAAACAATGGAGAGACTGTTTAGAGAAGTTGACCCTGGACGGTTAGCGCTTTATTTTGGCGTACTGCTGATGATCTTAAAACAGGTTAAGGCTGAACTGAGGTACTCTATTCCGGAGGAAGTAAAAGAAGGAACTATTGTTGGAAATATTGCAAAAGATCTCGGTTTGGATAGAGCGTCATTGGTTGATCGCCGGTTCCGTGTTGTACCCGGACCCAAGGAGGCTTTTTTCGAAGTTAATTCGGATAACGGTGCACTACAGGTTCGTAGAAAAATTGACAGAGAGAAGCTTTGTCACGGCGGTGGCGTCTGCCAAATGGAGCTGAAAATACTCGTTGAAAACCCGCTGGAGATGCATCACGTTGTTGTTGATATAACAGACGTAAACGATCACTACCCCATGTTTTCTGAAAAAGAACAAACGTTTGAAATAGCAGAACATTCATCTCCTGGAACCCGATTTCAGTTACATGCGGCCCGTGATCCGGATGCTGGAATAAACTCCATTAGCACATACACGTTAACTTCAAATGATCATTTTGATATTGAGGTAATTCAGAGTGATGAGGAGAAAGTGCCGTTTTTAGTATTAAAAAAGTCGCTAGACAGAGAACAAAAAAACAGTCATGTGTTCATTTTGACAGCAGCAGATGGAGGGAAACCTCCGAAATCAGCGACTCTTAATGTTTCCATTATTGTTCTGGATACTAATGACAATCGTCCATCATTTAAGAAAGACATTTTTCAAATCGAAATCCAAGAAGATACGTCGATCGGCGCAACTCTTATTAGATTAAATGCATCAGACCCAGATGAAGGGACCAATGGGGAGATAGAGTACAGTCTTAGCAAAACACTCACGCACGAGGTATATAATGTATTTTATTTAAATAGCGTTAGTGGAGAAATAACCCTAAAAAGTGCCCTAGATTTTGAGGATTCTAAAACTTACAAACTAGATGTTCAAGCATCTGACAAAGGACAGCCTCCACTTACAGGAAGGTGCAGAGTTATTATAAAGATAAAAGACGTGAATGACAACGCCCCAGAAATAGAGGTTACATCTCTTTCAAACAGTGTGTCTGAAGATTCAAAGCCTGGCACAGTGATTTCACTCATTAGTGTGACTGATAAAGATGCAAATGTTAACGGAAAGGTCATAGTGCAGATAACTGACCAAGTACCATTTGAGCTAAAGCATTCATACAAGGAGAATATTTACTCAGTTGTCACCAAAGCTCACCTGGACCGAGAAAAAGAAGATGAATATTTTATTACTATAAAAGCAACAGACTGCGGTGAACCTCCCTTATCTACTGTTAAAAGTCTCAGAATTCAAATCACAGATGTGAATGATAACAGTCCTGTCTTCTCAAAAAAAATATTGCAATATTACGTGACAGAAAATAACGTTGCTGGTGCCCCGATATTTTCACTAAGTGCAACAGATATTGATGTTAATGAAAACGCAGCTCTAACGTATACTTTAGTAAGACAGAATGATGTAACAAGCTTTTTAAACATTAACTCTGAAAACGGACAAATATCTGCCCTTAAAGGTTTCGATTTCGAAAGCATGAAAACTTTCCAGTTCCAAGTCGTTGCCACTGATTCTGGGACTCCATCATTGAGCAGCAACGTCACAGTAAACGTGTTCATTCTGGATCAGAACGACAACCCTCCAGTCATCCTGTATCCAGTCAGCTCCAACGGTTCTACTGAAGGTGTGGAGGAGATTCCCCGCAATGTGAACGCAGGACACTTGGTGACTAAAGTCAGAGCCTATGATGCTGATATAGGATATAACGGCTGGTTACTGTTTTCACTGCAGGAAATTACTGACCACAGCCTCTTTGGTTTGGACCGCTACACAGGACAGATCCGAACACTTCGCTCATTCACAGAGACAGATGAGGCTGAACATAAACTGGTCATACTTGTCAAAGACAATGGCAACATTTCTCTCTCAGCAACAGCTACTATAATTGTCAAACTTGTGGAGCCCAAAGAAGCTTTTGCCACTTCTAATGTCAAAAGTGCAGCAACAAATGAAGAGGATAACAATGTGATTTTTTACCTGATGATCACTTTGGGCTCAGTGTCCATTTTGTTTATCATAAGTATTGTTGTGGTGATTGCAATGCAATGCTCCAAACCCACAGACTATACTTCGAAATATCTCCAAGAAACTAACTATGATGGAACACTATGTCACAGCATTCAGTACAGATCTGGAGACAAACGATACATGTTAGTTGGACCCAGGATGAGTATTGGATCTACTGTAGCACCTGGAAGTCATGCAAACACACTAATGCTACCTGACAGGAGGATAACATCTGAAGAGGTAAGACATTTAAGCCATTTCATTGTTTAACCAACCCATATATATTTCTATTTG